CCAAGGGCAGAGGGAGAGAAGTAGCCCAGAGGCGTGATCAGGCCTCAGACTCCGAGTCCTGCTCAGAATCCCAAGAGTCAGAGACTACCTACGGAAACAGAAAAGCACCGAGGGTGATTCCACCTCCTAGGAGCACTGTGTGGCCCGTACCCTAGACACTATTAACAAAGCTAGGCCTGCTATAGAGGCTGCACAGCCTGAAGGGTGGGGGACAATCAGGGGGACACCCAGGTCTGTGACTCCGGGAGGGACATTCCTGAGGGACCACCGAGGGGAAAAGGAAGCAGGCCAACTGCAGCCTCTTAGTCTCTCTTTTTAAAAGCCATTGATTGGGCTTGGATACTCCGAATTGAAATTCAGGGGCACAAGCGGAGAGGAAGGACGCCCTCTCATTCTTTTGCGCCTCGGAAGGCACTAACCCGTAGCTCATCCGAGTCCTGGCACTCAGTCCCCAGGAGATCTTGGGCAAGTGTCAAGGCTCCTAGCCTCGGTCACCGCAACCCTAAAATGAAGGAGTCAGAAGTAATTGCACCTGCCTGGACATCTAGCCTTTGTTCCAAAAGTGACAGAGGACAGGGCAACTAAGGGACTCAAGGACCAGCGACTCTGAGCTTGCCTGCTGGCGGGGTCCAGAGACCCTGTGGCCGTCCTGGCAGAGATTGCTCCATTTGAACCAGGGTGGGGGTGGGAGAATTTCTTAAAAAGTGCACCCGCCCTGTGTAAGCAGTTGGGATCGCCAGAGTGGCTTCTGCAGGGGGTGCGCCCTGCGGGTGTTAATGTGTGAGGAGAAGGCATGGGCTGAGAAGGCTGCGCTTGTATCTTTGGGACCTCAGCCAATCCTATCACAGCCTTGAAGGTGAGGCTGTGAACCAGAGGTGGGTGTGAGCAGTTAAATCAGGGTGTATCTCCCCCAGCCCCAACTGGTGCAATTAAAGGCCTCCTTAACGCCCCATACTTGCATCTTCACAAAGACCACGAAGCCTGCAGCTCCCTCCCTCAGAGGCTAAAGAAGGGAGAATTAGATGACCGGGTGTGTTTGGGTCCTCTCAGCCATCTTTAAATTGCTGTTGCTGCATGGCGTGGCTGAACTCACAAAACCTCTCTTGGCTCTTCCTTCTTAAAGGAGGATGAAGCTCCTTAAAGGAGGGGAGACAGGGGGGCACAAACCAGAGGAGGTGCCTTGACCTCAGCCTCTGGCTGTACATCCCTATTTCCAGAGCCGCCCCAGGCCCATTTTGCAAACCGAGAGTCTGTTTGAGGTCGCAAGGGCTTGAGAGGAGGTGGGGTCACATCCACAAACAGACTGAAGTTCAAGTTTAAAATGCCCCCAGAAAACCCTCTGCTGCAGGTCCTGGTTCCCACGGAGCCCTGGGCACCCCAAAGCCGCTGTGCCTGGGGGATGGGAACCTGGGGTCCCCTTCCAGTGACGACGGCTTCCTGTACCTAGAACCAGAGTCAAGCATAGCTCGCCTGCTCTGTTTTGGCAGCAAAGTATGTAGAACACCCCCACTTCAGACCCCAGCTACAGGGAGCAGCCGCACAAAAGATCCCAGAGCCACTGGTCCCCTCTGCGGGGGCCTAGGAAGTCAGAGAGATCTGTGACAACCAAAGTCTGAGTAACTGCTCCCTCCTCAACCCCACCATACACACAAAGATTTTCGGGATGTGGGGCAGGCGGACTGGCCAGGGGGCGATCTACTTGGTTGGTAAGCGGACCACTGCCTCCCTTGGAGGCAACACCTCACCTTGAAGTGCCACAGGGGCCATCGACTTTGGCCTTGGTGGGGACTGGACAGCGGCCGCAGCTTGCTCCCAACAACTCCAGGGATTGACCGTCCCTGCGTGCTTCGGTCTGAGGCAGACACATGGAGGAGACTGTGGCGCCAGCTTCAGTGGTTTGGTGTGCAAAGCTTGCTGCTAGGAAACTTCTAGAGACAAGCGCCCCACCCACGCACATTGGCTGAATAAAGAGGTGGGGGGCTTCTCACTTTGCTTTGCCAAGTGGAGGAGAACGGGGAACTTTATTTGCGTGGTGTTATCCACAAGGAGCTGAAATCGCCAGAAGACTGTCTCTCATGTGTCTGTCTGTGTCTGCGTTCTGCGTGTGTGTGTGTGTGTGTGTGCGTGTTTGATGTGTGCGTGTAACGTGGTGTGTGTGTGTGTGTGTGTGTGTGCGCGCCCGCGCCCGCGCCCCCGATGGCGGGGTATTAGACTCCCACTTCTCCCTTCCCAGAGAGACGCGCACGGGTGGCTGTCCTTCTAAATGCGCCCTGGTAACCTTGTTCAGAGGGCTCGGCGGCGCCGCGGGGGCTGTTGCGGCTGGCGAGGCAGAGCCCTGCTCCGAGCAAAGAGCTATTACTGCTTTTAGGAAAAGGGGAGTCCTAGGGGCGCGGGGAAGGAGCTGGCTCCGAGGCCCGCGCGCACCCTCCCCCTCCAAGCCCCAGCCCTGGGGGGCCTCAGCCGGTCTGGTGTCTGCGGACCTACGGCGTCCGTCCTTCTCTTCCCTGTCGAAGAGATCTCGATCTTAGTTCAAGAATTTCTAACTTCCCCGGCTTCTCCCACCAGCATCCAACGCCATCGGGAAGATTCCAGCCATCCAGGATTGAGGCGACCTGGCCCGAAATGCCGCTTTCCTCCCCGCCACCCCGCCCGCCTGGAGAGGCCTTTTGTCCTGCGGCTGCTCTTCTAAATGAACTTCAGACTTCTCCCGGACTTGGGATACTGGGCCCGGATGAGACTGGGGAAGAACTCCACCGCCCAGGGTAAAACCCCGCTAGAATGTCACTGGGAAAGTGTTCAGGAACGCGAGGAGAGTGCGGAGGAAGGAGCATATCCTTCAAACCTTCCAAGAGCATCCCTACTGCCCGCCGCCCAGCTCACCCCCCACGTCCCATCCTCCCGGCTCCACCGGGCCCTCTTGCCTGGCTGAACCTGGCCGAGATAAGGCCTAATTGTACCTGACATCACATCATTCCAGTCCCTGGGCGATGATTTTTTTTTCTTTTTTCACTTTTGAAATCCCGGGCCCAGGCGGAGACATGCGACGGGGTTTGGGGGGGGGGTTGCGGGCACCTCAGGCCTCGGGAAGAGCAGGGTAGCTGCTGTAGGCATAAAGCACCAACCTTTCCCCACCTCCCCTCCCTAACCCCGCTCCTCAACTGCAATAGGTATACAGGCTGCCACGTTCTTCTCCTGAATGCCAGAACTGGATTCACGTGCCTCATAATTCGATGTTCTTGGGAAGTCCTGGCTGCAGAATTTCAATATTTGGGCGGGAGGAGGGGGCGGGGGGGCGGTTGTGGGAGGGGGGAGAGGAAAGGGATCTGAGTCCTAAAGGCAAAATCGGGGTACAGAGCGAACCTGCAGTTGGAGTAGCAGAGCCTGTGGAATGCGGGAAGGAACCAGCCCAATCTGGGGCAGGGACCCAGGGCCGGTGAGAAGGCTGCCCACCCCTCTTGAGGCACATTTAGGGGTAACAACTGGCTCACATTCCCTTTTGCCTGAGGTCCCTCCTGGGGCCCCTCTACTTTTCTCTTCTCATTCCTGCCTCAGACCACCTTGATCTCCGCTCTCCTCTTACCACCTTGCATGTTCCCCCAGGCATTCAGCTCCATTTGGTGGCACAGGGTTGGGGGTGGGGGTGGGGGAAGGTTGATGGGGCAAGAAATGGACAGCCTTGCATCCCTGGGCTGTGCTCTGGGACAGGCCCACCTGGCCAGAGAAGGCGCCTCGCCTCTGCCCCTGGGCCTGTGAATCTAGAACAGAGGTTTTCGAATGTGCTCAGGCAAATGGGTCAAAGTGGGTAAGAAGCTAAGCCCCACCAGGGAGACTTCTCACTCTCCTAGGCTCACAGACCTCAGCATCTCCACAGGAGCACCTCTCTCCATAGCATGTTCTTCAGGAAAACCAGGTCCCCGGCATGGACGGTTGGCCTGTCAGACGCCTTATGCCCTTCCCCCACCTTAGTGCCAAATAGACCCAGCTGATCAGGTTGGTCGGCAATGTCTATTTGTAAAAATCCCTGAGAAGAATGTTTTACAAACTCCAGACATTTTATACTTCTGAGGGAAGGAGAACTGGGGCAGGACAGGTCTTGGAGAGAGACTTGACTATTCAGCCTTGCATTAAAAACTTCGAATGGCCCATCCTAGTAGCAACGTGGAGGCAAAACGTATTCCAGCTGCGGGGTGATGGGGAAACTGCCTCTCAAATCGCAGCAGCTTTGGGGGAAAAGAGCTGAACCAGGTGCCTGTAATGGCCCGATTTTGAAAGGAGGTTGTGAGTGTGTGCATCGGGGCAGGGGAATGCAGTTTCGTAGATCTATCACAGGCCAGATGTCGGCCAGGAGATCCGAGTTCTGGTTGGGGGCTCGGCCTTAGTGTGACCTTGAACAAGTCACCTCCCAGCTGTGCAATTGCTTTGGCATCATTAAAGCCATCTCAGACCCGGCCTTCCAGCCCTAACCACTGTGGTCTGCCTGTCTTTTCCTCCACGACACTACAGAACACACTCAAGCAAGGGACCCTTTGCACTGGAAGTGCCTCCCCGCTCCAGGCCCAGCACCCAGCGGCCACCTTGTGAGCCTGGGCTGTAGCCAGATTGACCCCAGCTGGCACCCCATCTTCACCCCAAGTCTTCATCCTCTGCATCCTCGAAAGCCAGCGCACACTCATCGCAAACCCATCGCGTACTGACTCCCAGGGGGCCCAGCAGATCCTATGGTCAGCTCAGCTCTCAGACCACACTCAGGATCACTGAGTGCCCATTTAGTGGTGGTTGGCTTGGGCTATGGGTGACACCTATGAACCGGTAAACCCCAAAAGCGATCTCTGCTGCAAAGTGGCTCTGAGGTTGCAGCACTTCCCCCAAAAGCTCTAGTCCCCACCTCCAGCTGCTGTGACCTGCAGTGCCCCAGAGCTAAGGTCCAGGACAGAGACCCTAGACCTTACCGGCAGAATCTCCCCAGCCAGCCAAGCGGCCTTTACAAACCGTAGTAAACATTTTATTTACAAGTTTGTGGCGTCCTGTGTGCAGCATGTGTCTGCGACCCCTGCAGCGGGGAGGAACTGTTGAGTCACCCACATCACAGTGTGAGCTGCTCCTATCCGGGGGAGAAGCACTGCCCTGCTCTCTGTGCAGTGTGGACTGCACCAGGCGGCCAGTGAGACCCAAACGTCGGGAAGGAGGCTCCGCCGCGGCGTCTCGGGCCCTGTCCAGGCCGCCACCATAAAATAGGCACAAGATCCAGCCACACTGGACGGCTGAGCGTCTGCTTGCTGGGCCCCAAGTCCCCTCTGCCCTGGTCCAATCTATAGGCCTCCGAGCTGCGGCTGGGCGGGCTCCGGACTTTTGGGAGCGCTGCTGAGGGAGGGCTGGGGCGCAGGGAGCAACTCTGGGGCGCCGCCGCCGCCGCTCCCCGCGCTGGCGCTGCTGCTACTAAGGCTGCTGAAGCTAAAGCTGCCGCCACCGCCACTGCCGCTGCTGCCGCCATTCCCACCGCAGCTGGCAGAAAGGAGTGCGCCCGGGGCCGAGGCCTTGATGACCGTGGTTTGGTGCAGAGACCGCTCGGCCCCCTCAGTCCGCTCTGTGTCGCTGGGGGCCATGTCCAGAGACTCGGAGTCGCTGCTGTCGCTCTCGGCCTCACCCTCAGAGCGGCTGAGGCTCCGATCCTCCTGCTCCCCGTCCGCTGCTGGGGCTCCGCCTGCGGGTTTCTCGCCCGCCTCCTTAGGGTCTTTGTCCTTCTGGGCCTGGGCCTCCTTGGAATGGCGCCACTTCATCCGCCGGTTCTGGAACCACACCTTCACCTGCGCCCCGCCGCCGCCACACGGGGAGACAAGAAGAGATACAGAGATGAGACAAAGGCTCGCTCCAATCCGACCGCTGCGCACCTGGGAGCCACTCGGAAAGGCAGGAAAGCACCGCTAACCATCCCCAGCGCCTGTACCACGGGCCTGGCACTGTGCTAGAAGCAGGGACCGAGAGGCTGGCCAGACACGAGGCGGTGGATCATCAGGGATCCTCGCCTGCGAACCGACCAGGCCTGTTACTCAAAACGTGGTCCTCCAGACCTCAAGCCTGAAAGGACCTGAATGCTTGTTGGAAAGGCACGTTCTTGCACCCCGCCTGCAAACAACGACATAGGATCTCTACTCTAAATCGACGCCTCCTTTAGCCTACTTGAGTCAGGACCCTCCCAAGAATCTGACTAAAATTATGGACCCGTGGCCCAGAACAATGCACAGATCCCCAAGATTTGGCACACAGTTTCAAGGGTTTGCTGAACCCAATGTTAAGCATTCCTGCTAAGTTGTCCCCTCCTCTACCACCACAGTCGGAGGCAGGTCTCTACGAAAGCAATTCTTTTTAAGGAGGAATGGTGGGAAGCACACAGGGGAAAGGGGGTTCAAAGAGTTAATCCCAGTGGGATAGGGGCATCAGTGGACCTTCAGAAGAGCATTTCCTGGGCCTGTGTGTACTCAGAAGCTGAGAAGGACCCAGGCCTTGCCCAGGATAAGCGAATCCTACCGTGGGCTCAGAAAAAACGCTGGAATTAAACCTGTGCAAAGTGGAGGAAGGGGGTAGGGATGGGGAGGGGAATCTATATAAATATATATGATCCCCTGGGGGACCCAATGCGTTCACACAAGTTCCAGCTTCCCTTTTAAAAATAACATCCACAGCTGGTGGAAAACGGCTGGGCTCTTCCACTGTGTGAGCTGGGGAGGGGAGTTGTGTAATGGAGGACAGAAAGACACAGACACAGAAGGGGGGCACCTAAGGGAGCTAGGAAACAGTGCCTGCCTTTGGCCTCTGCCCTGCTCAGAACATTCAGCACCCCAGGAGCCATGGTCATGGCGGTGGGGTGTGGCAGAGCAGGACTCTCCCACAGTTTCAAAACTCAAAAAGAAAAAAAAATGCCCAGCTCTTGAAGTTGAGAAAAGGAAAAAAATATTGAATTCAGGCACAATAGATTTGCTATTTACTTGAAAAAAAAATTCAACTATGCAGAACCTAGAACCTGCTGAAATGCTCTTCAGCAGCCTAAGAAAATCTTTTTGTCTCTCTCTCTTTCTCTCCCCCTCACTCTCCCCACCAGAGATTTTTTCTTCGGAGTTTATGCCGTTAGAAAATCGGGCTGTGGCCGCTGCAAGCGGACTCCTTGCCCTACTGGGGCTAAGTAATTCCGTTTGAAATGATGTTTTCACTTCCTCACAACTGGGGATTTCACAATCCAGCAACAGCAGCAGCAGGAGGAGGAGGAGGAGGAGGGAGGACGAGAGAGAGAGAGAGAGAGAGAGAGAGAGAGAGAGAGAAACAACAACAATCTCTTGACTTTGGATTTTTATCTCTTCTGAAATAAACTGCCTCCTACAGCGAACTGCACTAGAGTGGAGTACATAATTATTATCTCCCACAGCCTATTTGCTTTCTCCGGGGTTCTTTCTGCCTGTTGGCCAAAATAAACAGGCAGTGCTTGTTGACACACATCTTTGGGGATGGGCTATGTCTTCTGTCTGTCTCCTCCACCCTCCTCCTCTCTCCTGCCTCAAGTTACAAGTCCACCAAGTTTCCTGAAATTCAAGATCTTGTGTTTCCACCAAAAAAGGAGAGAGGGTCGGGGTGGAAGGGACCTTGGAGCTGGGATGCGCGGGGCTGCGTGCCACGGGGGCTGTTGGTTGCAGCCGGAGCTGGCTTACCTGTGCGTCCGTGAGGCCCAGCATCGCGGCCAGCTGTTTTCGGTCTGGCTTGGTCACATACTTCTGAATCTCAAACCTTTTTTCCAGGCCTTTCCTCTGCAGGTTGGAGAAGACCGCCCGTGACCATGAGCGTTTTCTTTTGTATGTCTGTGGCATGGTGTCCTTCGTGAGCACAGCATAGGGACCTGTACGGGGGTGGGGGTGGGGCAGGAGCAAGAGAGAGACAGGAGGGCCAAGTTGAGTGCTCAGTCCGCGGCCTGCCGGCCTGGGAGCTCTTGGCGCTGCCTAAAATTGGTCTGTGTTCATGGCTGGCCCAACCCGCATTTAGAAAGCCCTCCTCCAAGGAGGACTTTCACGGCTTTTAAGAAGGCAATCGGAAGGCCTAAAGCGAGTGTTTACTGAGTGAGTGGAGAAGCCCGGCGGATAGTCTGTTAATTCCAAAGGAAAAAAACGTAAACCTAATGCTTGGTCATCAGGCATGAAGAGTAAGTAAAAAAGTCCCTCGGGGCCTGACGGATCTACAGATGACAGCCTGGATTCTCGTGTGTGTGTGTGTGTGTGTGTGTGTGTGTGTGTGTGTGTGTGTGTGTACTCATATGTGCCCACGCGCGCAGATGCAACACCCTCCTGGGGCAAAAGGGTCTGAGGTCATTTAAAAATGTGTGTACGATAATAAGCACCGTGTCTTGCTGCTGCATTTTCAAACCACCCTCTCCTGCGAAGAGGTTAGGGAAAGCCCTCCTATCCCATCCCACCCGCCCACGCACACACTTTCGTGGCTCCCCAGGTCCCCCTCCCCCCTTTCCTCCCGGTGCTGGCCCAAGAGTGAGCCAGCTCACAGAGAAAATTTTCAGTTTCTCTCTCCCGATGCGGGCGGCCTCCCGCACCAACTCCGGGATTGTGACACCGCGGCCTTGGCCACGTGAGGCGTTTTGAGTTTTCTGTCGGGGACCTGCCAGCTCTGTACCTGGAAACGTGTCTTGAAACTGATGCTGAACTGAATTTCTCGGGTTGGAGCTTAAGGGATTGAGGATGGCAGAAGCCTCGTTAATGGGATCTAGAGACGCGAAGAACTGGCCGGCGGAAGGCTGCAGGCCCGGGAGATGGAGACCCGCAGGACGCCCGCCGGTTAGCAGGGACGTGAGATCTGGAGACCAGAGAAAAGAAGAGACGGTTACACCTCGAGCAAACCCACACACTCTCTCGAGCGATTTGTTCCTCCCCTCCCCGTCGCCCTCGATTTGGTTTTCCCGAAGCTTAGTGAAGAGCGACCCGCGTCTCCGCCCGGAAACCCCTCTCTCCAGACTGCGGCCAAGGGGCGACACACAACATGTCCCGTGTGTGTCCCATAGGTCCACGTCCACGCCGTTACAGCAAGGAAAGCCTTTACAGAAAATGGCCCAAACAAAGTCACTTTCAGGTGCCTTCCAAGAATCCACAAACGTTAAATCCTCCGCCAGAAGCACCCCGACTCTGTCCCCTCCTCTTGGGAGCTCAGAGTCGGTTTTGTTTCGCTACATGCCTTCGGTGTAATTTCACTGGAAATCAGATAAACGGAAGGAAAAGTGTTCCCCAAAAGGGCTTTCCCTGTCAAATAATAATAGTTTTCTCTCTAGGTATGTGACTAAAGACAGACAGGCGATAGACATTTTAGCAAATATTTACACCAACCGTTTTTGTGACTATTGATTCCGTGACGTATGTTTAAAGCACTCCTGGACAGTTTTTTTTTTTTTACACAGAGCCGGTGAGTTTTAAACCTAGTGTTTTATAGTCTCCACACAATTCATTTTCTTCTCCCTTCTCTCACCAATTTGTCCTTAATTGTAAAGCACTCAAAGGCACCCTAAGCTGGCCCTGGGCCCTGGTTAGAGGCCTGCAGTCGCTCTCCCAAGACCTACCTCTCAGCGTGTTGCCTTCCTTGACTTTTGGGTCAAATTCTGCAGACAAAATGCGATCAATTCCGAATTTGAGGTCCTTGCTGGAGGGGGCCGGGGCCGAGCCGCTATGATGAGGGTTCGGGACCAACCGGGCCCCGGAGGCGGGGGGCTGCAAGGCGCCGGCCCGGGGTGTAGGCGGAGGCTGTTGCTGCTGCTCTTGTTGCTGTGGGTGATGGTGGTGGTAGGCAGCTGTGAGCGGAGACAGCCGCTGCGGGAAGCCAGCCGGGACTTCGGAGGGCGCCACCACTGGGGTGGGTCGAAGCGGGGATCTGGCAGCCGCTTGGAAAGAGGCGTGCGGGTGCGCGGAGCCCAAGTGCGCGGTGAGGGCGGCGGCCGAGGCCCCCGCCAGGCCCTCCGGGGCCGCCCCCGGTTCCCCCACACCGGCGTGCAGAATGTCTGCGATGCAGAAGGAGGGTTTCTTGACCGCAGCGGGATCCAGAGGGTAGGAGCAGCCGCCCGGGCCGGCCGAGGAGCAGTAAGCAGCCGACCAGAGGCTGAAGTTGGAGGCGTAGAAGGGAGCCAGCCCGGCGGCGAACATCCTGGCGGGGGTGCGCCCAGCGACCGCCGCGGCCTGGCCGGGCCGGGTGGATGGGTGGGTGGGTGGGTGCGCGGGGAGGGACGCGCCGAGCGCAGGAGGCGGCGGCAGCCCAGCCGAGGACGATCTGCTTTCGTTTCTCTGTCCGCACCGAAGAGAGGCCAGGGAGCCCTAGCGCCACCGAGGGAGGAGGCGAGGCCCGGATCCCGGCCGGTCGCAGTCAGCCCTGGCCTCACTTTCCAGGCGGCGCGGGACCCGCGCTCCTCGCGGGCTGCGGGCGAGCGAGGGGCGCGGAGGCGACGCGGCGGGCGGGGGCCGTGGCTCCGCACACTCCAGGGAAGCCTGCGAGACAGGAACCGGGCACCGAAAGAAAAACCCAAACAGCTAAGCCCTGAGAGCTAAATTTAAAACAGCAACAATAATAATCCGTTAGTTACCAAAAAAAAAAAAAAAGTAATAAGAGGGGGAAAAAAAAAAACTCCTCTCTAAAAACTCCCAAAGTTTTGGCAGGAGCTTTCGAGTCAGACTCTGGGTAGGACCTCGATCTGAGTGCTCATTGGCCACCCTCGTGACCAATGGGAGCGGGCCGTGGAGGGGGACTTGGGCGAGGGGGGCGTGACCCGCACCCTCGGCCCCGCCCCGCTGCCTCGTGTTTGCAGGAGGTGCTGGAGCCCAGCAGGGTCCCCGGGACGCGCGTTCTTCTCTGCGGTGTAAGGGCCCGGACGGCGGCTCAAGGGAATGCTGACCCTCTAATAACTTCTGCAGCGCGGAACCGGCACGGGACGTGGAGAGCCTGTCCGCGCTCCAGGAGCGCTCGCCTGGGGAAACTGATGCTCCGACAAAATGATCGCGGGAGCAAAGCCCGACCTCCGGAACGCGCTGGTGGCCCTCTAGGTTCCCTGGTCTTTACTTCACTTGGGCCCAATTTTTCCGAGAATCAGTATCGTCCACGGGCCCCAGCCCTATGCTGCCCAGCCCCGAGCTCTCGCGCTGGAATGCTGGGGCCCCGAGTCTCCGCCCAATTTAGCGCCGCGTCCGCCTCGCTGCCTCTGGGATCCCCTGGGAAGACAGGAGGGGCAGTCACAAATTAGCTTTATTCCGAGCTGTTGCACAGTGACAACTTGAACGAGTACCTTTTCAAACAAAATAAGATGAATGTCTCCGAACGGTCTGCCTTGGACGCCGCCAAACCTTCCCCGCGAGCCTCAGAGACAACAACACAGGCCGCCGACCGAAACCTGGGAGAGCGGCACGCGCGTCCCCTCCTCGGCTGCACCTTGTAGTAAATGTCAACCCTCCCTCCGCCACATCCCCGGATCACGTGGGCTCCGTTGTTTTGCAAGTGCCCACACGAGCAGATTATCTTGGGGTTAAACGCCACTTTTAGTTCAGGGACTGCTTCCAGGAGCCCCTTGGGCCTGGTTGCAGAAGCTGCAGTGGCGGCCAGAGCCTTCCATTCGCTTTTCGCGTCTTTAGGGCGCAGAGTAGGTGCCGTTGGGGGGGTTTTCTGCAACATCAACATCTCTATTTTAAGAATTCGTTCTCTTTTAAATTATAGTCAGAATGGATTTCCCCACCCCTCTCCCAAACAAACCACAGGCCACCCAGATGAGCCCTTCTTGCACATTTTCAGGAAGAAAATAAAATGATAATAATGAAACCACGAAATCTTTTGTTTTCGATTGTCCTAACAGGCATCGCTTAACAGAACTACTGTGGCAATTTCCCTACTCCAAACTTTCAATATAGTTGCAATAAAGCTTCTGTGTCATTTTAAAATTTCACTTAAGCAACACTAACACTTCTTACCAAATAAACCCAGAAAGGCAACTGAGCTTGCCATGCCTATCTCGAGTTCAGGATTTGTGCTCATTAAATTAATTTCTAGGGACTTCTAGTCCCTTGTTTCATATGCTGTCGTTTTAAACTCTTGACTTTCTCCTGGAAAGTAATCAAGCACTGTCAATCATTTCCCACCAGCGAGCCCTGAGAACACCGGTCCCCCTTGCCCCCCGGTTCTCAGTCTCTCTCCCTCCATCTCTCTTCTACTAAAGCGTTTTCTTGCCCTGCTCCTTGCAGCCAAGAGAGAGGTGTTATTTCCAGAGATGGAATTGGAGGGGTGTGATGGGCTGAGGGCACCGGTACCTGGGGCGAGAGCCTCCTGGCCAGAGACAAAGGAGTGACACGCATTAGGCCACTTAAGGCGTTGGACCCTCTTTGTAAGGCTCCAAGGGAAGGCGTTGCAAGCAAAGGGTGAGGATTCGGGCAAGACTCCGGTGGAAGAGCGCGGCCTCCGTAACTCCACAGCCCTCAGGGAGAGTCACTAGCTCGAGTGTGTGTCGAGGTGGCCATAAACCCTCGCTCCTGTTTTCTAGTGTCACTTCCAGTTCGGTTGCAATTCCAATTGGACTGCCAATATTCCAGCAGCGGGGCCTAAGCCCAAACTCACGGTTCTAAAAGAGGCGCGTTTAGGCCCACCCCAGGCCGAATACCCCCAAGTTAGACGCGGCCCTCGGGATGGGCACCCGGTGCAGACTAGGCTGAATGCGGGCCTTCCGGGTTTACCGCGGCGCCCACCACCCGCAGCTGCACCACTTCAAGGCCAGGTGCGCGGGACAGGCGGGGCGAAGGCGAGGCCCAGAGGGCGGGGTTCCCCGCGGACCCCTAGCCCGGCCGAGCGCTCCTCGGTCTCCGCAAAGGGCCCGAGGCTTGCTTACAAATTGCACCTTCACCCGCGCGCCCCTCGGCCCTCCCACGCCCTCAGCTTCATTGCACCCGCGTCAGCGCCACCCTGGCGGAGCCCGAGCTCCCGGAGGGAGACGCGAAAAGGGAAATCTTTGGAACGACCCGCTGTGTCCCCTACCTACCCACCCACCTCCTTCCCCAGGCCCAGGCCTCGTGTCGGCGGCCCCCAAGCCCTCTTCTGAGCTGGGAGACTCCCCTTCTCCTTACTCCCCACCCCTCCGAACCAAGAAAGCAGCAGGAAACCCTGGGCTCGCCGGAGTTCAGGTCATCTCCTGTTTTTTGATGGGCTCCAACTCCGACTAAATGAGCGGATGTGCCTGCGAGATTGGTCTCAAAATAGAAGCGGCCTTAGTATTTTAGGATACTGCAGAAATCCTTATTTCTTCCGGAGAAAAACTCTATAATGACTCCTAGCACTTCCCCTTTTAATATTTGTGCAACTTTATCTCCACCGACAAGTTGCTTGGGTGACGCAAATCCGCCCTTGTGTATTACAACTACCAAAATAAATGCGCGGAAATCAATTCCCTTCTAGCAATGAAAATATAAATATACAGCTGCGACTTTCCCCTTTAATCTTTTCTTTCCGAGCGGCTCTGAGCTGTGGCGAAATGAACTGGTCCAGAGCAATTGAGACCGGCGGGGAGGTCCTGGGGGCAGAAGCCAGGACTCCCGGGGCCTGGTAGCCACACGGCTTTAGCAAATGTGCTCCAGTAAGAGTGAAGAGTGTCTGACTAAGCCCTATTAACTTGAGCTTAAATGTGGCCGCTCTGTCCTTTGAGGAAGCTCATGTCTAAAGATGATTTCGTCTTAGACTGCATAGCAAATTACAACTGACAATAGAGCAATAGAGGGAGTCCTTTATACTCAAAGGTTAAACCAGTTTTGGCCGGGTGGGGGGAGATGTCATCATGTCAGGGGGCTCTGATCAATTCTGCTGGCTGTATTTAATACATACAACCCTCTCCTTCTCTTTTCCTGGGTAGACACAGCCAAACTATCTCACCATACTAGGAATGTACAATGCCAGAGAAGGTCCGTTTTATAATGTAACAATATGGTTTATGGGGATTTAGGATTGAAAAAAGGGGCCTAACTCAGAGGTTTACGTATCAACTGAAGCAACAGATGGGTTTCATTACCCTTGGGTTGTCCTTGTCTTCCGAGGGTCCATATTTAAATCACCAGTGCAAATTCTTATCCTAAACCTTTGGACACAGATACACACCAACTGAGCATGAAAACTCGATGAGAGTGAATGCTAAGCTTTGTTTATCAGTCACATAACTCTGCAAGGGCTTAGGCGATCCAGATCTGTTTGCTCCCTGCTTTTGGGTTTTTTCTTGTAGATTCTGGGCAAAATAATGTACGAGGCAGTTAGTTGCTCTGTGGACTTGGGACTCACCTCCTTAATTTTAAATATCCTTTCAAACATGCTACCTCCTGATTTCCAAGAAAGAGATGGAAACAATGAAAGGTTCACAGTCACAAGAGAAGGGAACATAGCTTACCCAGCTCTCTGAGGATATGAAGGATTTGCAGCAATGTGGGAATCGGCTTATATTCTGCCTGTCGTTCTGCCAGCTGAAGATTTATAGACTGCTGGACCCAGCACTCAAATTTAGTGGTAAGGGTGGGATTTCTGTTCCTTGTGGATGCCAGAAACTAGAATTTAGGACTCCAGCGACACCACCTGCCTACTGCCCCCTCCCCACCCCACCCCACCCCACACACACCCCTTGGATTATTCTAAGTAGGCCACAACTCCTTTTCCTGGAGACTTTAGTATTCCAGAACTAAAGAGAGTTTTTAAAGATAGACCTTTGATATAGGATAAGAAAAGCAAATAACAATGTGATAGGACCACGAGGTCCATGGCCACTTGATTTATTCCTTCTTTTTCATTTCCTAGGTGTGGCAGCCTCCCAGGTAACCATCTCTTTATGTGGCCATAGCCCTGCCCTTGACCTCTTGCTCACAGACCTGGCTTCAGAGGCTCAGACAGCCCTTTGGGTCTGACCCAACTTGCCCTTTTCTCTCACAGAGTTTCTCATATATTTCCTTTTCCCCATTAATAGGATATACCAGTTCACATACAGGTACCATCTCTCTCTCTCTCTCTCTCACACACACACACACACACACACACATACACACACGATCACTGGGGATCTTAGAGATGGGAGAAGGGCAGGGAAGGCAGCTTGGAGTTTTCTCCTGTTGCAAACAGTGAGCGACTTCTCTCTCCCTCCAAGTCACCTTTTCCACATCCAGCCAAGACAGAGATCAGACTTCATAAAACGTAATGGTAGAACCTATTTCAACATGATACATTGTGGCATAGACTAGCATGTGTTTGCAGTGAAATCATGTTCCCGTTAGAGTACAAGACGAAAGACCATCTTTAACATGTCAGAGACTTAGTACTTCATTGAACAGGCTCCTATTTGGTAGCTGGGAAAAGGGCTCACTCACTCCCAATACATTAGCCATTTGCGTTGGAGAAGCTGAGCTTGTTGCCTGGATTACTGAATCTACATAGCTGGGGTTTTGCCTCTAGTGAGTAAGTTGAACGTTAAGGTAGGAGACGGAGGTGTAATTGAAATTATATATTCAAAACAACTCTGGTGATGAGATGGAGCAAAGTCATTCCCAGAGTAATACTTATCTAAACAAACAAGCAAAACCTTATTTTCCTTTGAGACAAGTTTTCCAGACTAAGAGGCAGAAACGGGAAGGAATCCTCTGGAGGGAAAGGATGCTGGAGCCAACAGAGGGACTCTGTAGAGCTGAAGGGTCGTCTCCATCTGCCCTCCTGCACCCCATCAAAATTGGGATAGCTCTGGGTTTAATGACAGAATCCTGCCCGTCCTGTCTCAGCCCACCAGGCCCCAGCATCTCCTCCAACCCTTCATGAGCCTGCCTGGTACCAAAAGTTGGTTCTCTGCTGACACCTGCTGGACGATCTCTACATTGCTCTCTGGAGGTGCCCGGTCCTGTGCCAGTAACTTTGTTGTGATGAAAGTTGGCCCTTCCTTTTGCGAAAAGGCGGGTTTCTAAAATTGGCTTGGACCAGCAGCTGTTTCCTTCCATATGGCCGACAATATGGAAAGGTCTTGTATTATGTGTTTGAAATCACTAGACAGGGTGAGGGAAGCTGTCACCCTTCAGTCGTGACACCGTACATGTTACAGATCTCAGGGCCAGGTTCACATTTATTATCTCACTTGTTCTTGAACATAACCCATGGTAAGGATGCAGAGGAGGTATTACCATCAGTTTGCGTTTAGGAAGTTGGTCCTCAGAGAGGTTAAGTGGCTTGCCCGAGGTTACATAGTTAGGAAATGGTGTTCCAAGGAGCAGATGCTACAGTTTCTGATTCACCAACCAGGGTTCTACCACTCAACCAATTTCTTCAGGGGAAACAGTTTAATCAGAGGAAAAACTCTCCGCCCTCCATCCAAAGGTGCACTGGTTTCAGGCAAGGGGCTGGAAGATAGAATTGTGTCTAACCCAGGAAATGTCACAGGAACACTGTGACACAAGAGCAGACCGGTGACCACATCATTCTTTTGTGACGAGATATTTAGGAAGACCCTCATTCACGACGGGCTCACAAGATGTCTCGTGCTTTCCTCTCAGTAGCTGAAATTCTGCTCCTGGAGGGTTCACTCTTTGGAGATGAGGCATCATGCTCTGAATTCATGTATCTGACCCTTTTCATTGTGCAAACACCTGATGGCAAGGAAGCCATTTTGACAAGGAGAAGACAGAAGGAGGTTCTGAGAATAAACTACAACCCAGTGAGCCCACAATGGGATATATAGATGATGTATTACAGAATTGTACACCTGAAACCTATGTATCTTTACTAACACTTGTCACCTCAATAAAAAAAAAAAAGATACAACCAAGGACGTAGGCATCTGTGAGGGCACAGAGGGAGCAATGGGAGAGCATTGGGCACAGGTTCCTTGCCGGGTGCTAAAGAGAGAAGTTGGAAGATGGCTTTTTAGAGTTTTTCCGGGGTCTTTTCTCTCTGTCCTCAAAAGCCCTAAATGGCAACAAGGGAGAAAAAAAATGGGAGGTCTGCTGTTCATTTCCCCCCACCGGCACCAAATAGTTTTATAGGAGTTCAATGCCCTGTTGAATTACAGATAAGAACAAACTTTCACTTTTGAAGCTCATAGCTATATACTGGTATAACTACACGATAGGTATTTCATGTAGACACAGGTATTTTACCATCAGTGGCTCTTTCGTCTGAGTCTTAGGTATAAAAATGCCATAATACTAGTCTTTGTGGGTCTTGAAAGAGACTCAGAGTCGTTAGGAAGTGGAAAGGCAAGGCCGAGCTCACAAAGGCCTCCAGTGGGACCCGGATCGTCCGGCTAAATAGTGTCCTCCTAGCTCAGCCTGGTTACAGCAACTTTGTTCCCCAAAACGATGGGGATGGCCTGAACTAAAGCGTGAGGGTCGTGGGTGTAGGTGGAGAAAATGGGAAGAATTAAAAATGTTTAGGAGGAGGTAAAATTAACCAGGATCATCAGCGGCTTCATTTGAAACAGTCCCCACTGGAGAACGCATTGCCTTCGAACATGGATATAACTGTATTTAGTCACAGATTTGTAGACACAACAGCTGATGATAATTTAACACCCAACTTGATGGTTAGTTTTTCTCTCGTGTGGCTGCTTCCTTCACCGGGAGATGTGAACAAAATGCATGAGGTTCTTGAAAGGGATCAGTTAGTTGTGCTTGGGTTTATACTTTTGAACTCTGGGCTAACTGTTGTGTCTGTGTATAATTAGGCATGCATAAAATAAGCTGGTAGGTTCAAAACAGAAGTACTTACATCTGATTTGGAGTGGCCATCAGCCTGTTAAGAGAGGCAGGGTCTGGAATACAATAGCACTCCTTCCATATCGTCACTTTGTAGCTAATAAAACACAGTTAGGGTACATTTCATCTTCAGAGGGTTTGTCTTCTTTTTCATTTAGTGGTTAGCTTTAACAGTGCTGTAACAAATCGC